ACACACACACACACACACACAGAAACACACACACGTGCTGGGAGTCCACGTTTCTGCACAGGAGAATCTCCAGCTTTTCTTAGCCTGCCTGCAAACGTCTCGTCTTGCTTCTGAGTCTCAGCTGCTCTTCTGTCGTCTTCTGCTGTTTTAATTGATCTCGAAGTGAAGGTCTGAAGTCCAAATTTGAGCTGTCCGGGAAGTGACGAAGCCGAGCGCTCAGAGGTCAGTGGATGATGCAGGATGGACAGGCAGGGTCAGAGGGTTAAGACGGGGACAGTCTGCCAGGCTGGTGGACAGGGTAGTAGTGAGCAGACGGAGAGAGGGCGCGTGTGATAGAGCAGAAGCTGAGTATTTATAATCCTGCTTGATCCAATTGTGTATTAATCCCTGTCTCTCCTCCCCACCTCCTGCCCTCCCTCTTTCCCTTTCCTGACACGCAGTATAGCCCAGGCCCTCCCACACAGGCACAAGCACAAACACAGGGCGCTCACCCAGCTCGCAGCCTGATTCAAATCCGTGTTTGATAAGCTGTACTTTGGAGCAGTAAGTTTATACCGGTATACAAATACGCCCAATGAAGACAAGTTCTCATGAGCACTGCTGGAAACGGCCACCAGAGGGCGCAACAAAAGAAAGTGTGACAGAGCCTTAACTCCCTCTGGTGGCCGGTTCTTGAAGTGCTCCTAAGAACATTTCTTCGTTGGCTGTTTGTATGTTTGTGTTTTCGGGTATGTGGCGCTGTTGAAATCTCCGCGTGATGGTGTCAGGCATAAAGGGCTGTGCTGAGTGGATAAGCTGACGGGTGTCTGTAAGGCAAGTCATGTGATTGCAGGAGCTCAAAGGAGGACAAAGATGTCCAAGGAGATCTCATACAGACTGTTCTGGAAGCATCTCTGGGAATCCCAGCTTCCACGCCACAGCTGGGCCGCTCGCTTCTGAACCCCACAACTCTCGGGGTAAGGTGTGAGGACGTGCCTCCTGTACTCGTTTGTAAGTGCGCTTCCCTGAGGTTTTCTGCGTTTATCCCCTGGTTTGTGTTTCCTTCCTTTTACACACTTGTGAAGAGGCCCAGTGAGGGCTGACCAGAGATTTAAAATCAGGTAGAGCAGGAATAAACACAGCCGTGAAATGTGCAGGGATTCACTGGCAGCTGGCTGGAGATTCAGCTGGAAAAGAATTACATTGTGGGTTCATTTACCACAGTCCATCACAGTAAGATCACGTCCTACACTGGTAACTGTGTATTAGGATGTGGTGAGGTTAGGACCCTTCCTCTGAAGGCTTCTTTTTTTACGTTTCTTCCACATTTTGCTAATGTTTCACACTCGACAATCGCTTGAGTATTGAAGCCAGCAGGCAGGCGAGAAACACACGGACGAAGAGGAGCCCTGATGCGGAGTCTCTGCGTGCTGTTCATCCTGTGCCAGCTCTGACAGAGTGACCTTTCCCTTCTGTGAGCGCCCCCAGGCTCTGGGCACACAGCGCACTGCCCTACTGCGCCAGTCACCTGCAATCTCATCACCACACGCACAGAGCACAGAACAAGCGCTTATGAGTGCACATACAGAGGATCAAGGGCTTGTGAGCACACACACAGAGGAACAAGGGCTTGTGAGAACACACACAGAGGATCAAGGGCTTGTGAGCACACACAGAGGAACAAGGGCTTGTGA